GGACCGGTCTTTACCGCAAAAATAAAGGAGGAGGAATTTAGAAAAACTTCGTATTGACTAAGATCTATGCTATTATTAATGAATCGATTCAGTACTGATTTGATACTATAAAAACGCCTTCTAATGAGGAAACAAGGAACAGAATATGATTGTTGTGTGCTCCACACACGCTTTCCTATTGATCATAGTGATTCATTTATTGCACACAGAGAGTTGGAAAAAGTAACTTACATTAAGGAATTATTGTACAATTACCACAGAAATTTATTATTCATTTTCGGGCTTTCATAAGCGCACACCGATGCATAACTAATGTCACAAATATTATATTCTCGGACGAGAAAAATGTATATTTTTCCAATTGAAGAACGGTGTTTTCCTTGACCATTTTTGTGATGAACTGATTTATTTTTGCAGGTTTGCAACAGGTGTAAATAGATTACTCTGCGCACCTTTTTATTATCAGTTTTTTTTGTTCTGTAAGTAGTAACTTCTGATCCATGCTTTGTTTTTGCTTTTAGAATATTTTATTTTAGGTTTACCAATTTTAAGAAGTATGTTTTTAATAAAGGTAATCATTATATATTATCACTATTTCTACTATCTTCATCATTGTGCATTTTTAATGAAAAATTTAAAAAGTAACGTGTTCCTTTTGGAACCGCATTTTGAAACCTATTACCAAGGTAAAACTGAAATGTAACTTGTGTAACGTTGTAACTGAAACGCTTATCACACCTCTAGTTATTACTACCTTACTTTAAAACTGTTTCGGACTTTTTTATTATCAGTAGTTAGTCTATTTGGTTTCGAATCGGACAACCTCCATCTCCATTAACACCAAGACCTTTCCACGTACGCAATCTTCTATCTGAGAGTTTGTTGCTAATTACCAGGTCTCCCAGATTAGTTAAAGCAAAGCCGCTCGTTATAAAGAACGTCCATTTCGAATTAACGAATACAGGCCCTTCTACTGAAACTATTGTGCGTATTCTACTGTATGTAATAAATTTTCACATATTTAGCGTTACAACGGGTAAATCGCGGTTCAATTAAAAAGTAAATTAAATTGTTTGTAAAACTATTCCCGTCATTTTGATTATCAAAAAAAGGTTAAAAAGTTTTCCGATACCGGGAATCGAACCCGAGCCTCCTGGGTGAAAGCCAGGTATCCTAGCCACTAGACCATATCGGATTGTCGTTGAAAGCACACGTTAAGCGTGAAGTTCCGAGCAATCGTGAGATAATTCGGTTTTTTTCAACGCGAAAACGCGACGGCAGTGAATTACGACAGCCTGGAGAATCACAAAATAGTGAAAAGGAAATCAGGCTGTCCAGCCTAGTGTTAATGCCAGCAGGCAGTGACACCGGCTATCCAGGAAGAGTAAGTAGAAAAAACTGTACAACTTACCGTGGACCTACCCAACACCAGGTGCAGGTAGTTAACCCCCGAGAGCGCCAACCCTGTTGTAGAGCAACATCACAACCAATAACAAAAAATAACTGTGACCTGAAAACAACTAGCTAGGGCCAGTGGCCCCGTGTCTGCCGAGCACACAAAAATTTGCGATTTATTTATTTATTAAATTCCTCTGAGAAAATACTGTAGATAAGACCAGACAGTATGGCTACATGGAAGCAGGACGAAATACACACTTTGCGCGAGTTTATTCAGGGCCGGACTGTGATAGGAAAAAGGGACCTAGAGGAGGCGCATGAGTTATTGCCAGGTAGATCAGTGGCAGCAATAAAAAAAAAATGTGTAGAGCTCAAAAACCACCCCGAGACCAACAGACGACCTGGGAGCAGCAAATGGGAACCCAGTGAGCTGAATCACCTAATAAGAGCCTATAAGAGCAGGACAGAAACTCTCGCGACAGCTCGCATTAGAGCAATATGCGACGACTTCCCCGGCAGATCTCAGAAAGCTATTGCCGCAAAACTTCGAGAAACCTGCCCTGACGTGTACTATATGCGCGACGCCGGTCCGCAGGAGCAACCGGAAGATGTTGCTGAGGAAAATGCGTCGCGGGAGCCCATCACTGTGGACACACCAATGCGGGACCACCACTCTCGGGTCGGTGAGGGCCAGAGCGAGGAGGGCGACCGGCGGGAGTTGCTGGACCGGGAGGACCGGGCGCACTCAGACCATCAGAACGCAGCAGAATCAGGACACAGCGTCGACCATGCGGAGCCGGGGTCAAATGGTTATGAGGGTGACGTCCAACCTCCAATGCCCAGAACGCCCCAATATGTCAAACAAGAGCCTTTGTACTCTAAAACAAAGGCCTCCTTTGTCAAGCTGCTCGGCCGCGTGGGCGATAGGAAACCCAAAATAAAAAAATTCCTGATAAGACCCCAGAACGGTGAAACCGTCAGGCTGGTGGATGCCATTCTAGAGGAGAAGATTCTCGAGATTCGAACGGAAACAGCAAAAACCGAACTAGAGAAGCGAAAGTTGATCAAAACCGCAATCTATGTCGCAACCAGGGTACTACGGGATGCGCTAGTCAAAAACAAGCCGGTGAGGCAAGCTCACAAACGCACGGAAGACCAGATGAGCAAATTGCGGAGCAGAATAGCCAGCGCGAAGGAGATCAGAGGTCTGCATGGACAAGCCCTTCCTAAGCAACTCTTCAAGCAAGCCCGAATAATCCGGAGGCTTAAAATGCCGATTAAAGACTATATAGGGTCAATGGAAGAGAAGCTGGCTATATTAACAAAAAAATTAGATAGGCAAAAAACCCGTGATGCAGCAAGTGCCCTCAGGCGAAGATTCTATGAGCGGCCAAACATGGACGTGCTGCGGGAGCGGTCTGGTTTCGGGAGGGATATGAGGCCGGAGGACGCGGAAGCATTCTACCGGGGACTTTACAGGCAGAGCAAAAGTGATGACCGCACCCCTGTATTCACCGAGTGGCTAGGCAAGATGAGGAAGTTCACGCAACAACAGAACCTGCAACATCAAACCTCATCAGAGCACATCAGGAGGAAATGTGTTGAGGCCCTCGCCAGGGCGGCGCCGTGGAAAGCTCCTGGAGAAGACGGGATCCCATACTACTCGTATAAAATCCTACCAGCAGCTAATAGGTATCTCATTGACAGTACAGAGAAAATACTTACTGGCAGCCAAAAGCTGACAGAAAAGGACGTCCGCGCGAGGTTGGTGCTCATACATAAAAATGGAGACCAGCTTAACCCTGAAAACTACAGACCAATCTCCATCCTCAACACAGACTACAAAACTGTCACAGCGGTGATCACGGCCACTCTGACGGAGTCACTCCCGGACTGGGCAGTCCCCCCAGAGCAGTTCGCCCAGCCAAACATCTGGGCTACCACCCACGGCCTGCTCGAAGATAAGAGCATCACCACCCTGGCAAGGAAGCGGAATACCACAAACTATTCGGCGTGGTACGACTTCCGCAAGGCCTTCGATTCCGTCCACCACTCCGCCCTCAAGAGGCTGATTGATGCCCTGCCGCTGCACCGCAACATCAGAGCGGCTACAAAATTGGCCATTAAACTTTGGTCCCTCCGTATTCAAACCGGAAATAAGCGAACGGCGCCAATCCCGGTCCGGAGAGGAGTGTTGCAGGGGGACTCGATGAGCCCGCTCCTCTTCACGCTGATGACGGCGGCATTGATCAGCCACGTGAACTGTAGCCCGAAGATCGTGAAACAGAGCAGGGGAAAACACCGAATCCTCGCCTACATGGACGACATAAAATGCCACGCTCCAACAAAGTCCAGCTTAAAAACAATTACAATTGAGCTAATAAAGGCTGCTGGAGAAATCGGGCTCGAGCTGAACATGGCTAAATGCGGGCATTACACGAGGACAACGGGGGCGGGGGACGGAGATGGCGACCTGGAACCGTTTCTCCCGCGGGTCCGGCAGGGATATAAATACCTGGGCCTTGTTCAGCTGGAGAAAGACACGGAGGACAACTATTCCCGGATTGAGGAGCAGATGTCGGAGAGGCTTGGCCTGGTCCTGGGCTCGCAGCTCGCGTCGGCGCAAAAGGTTGCCCTCATGAACTCTTCGGTCATCCCTGCAGTGACCTATGTGACAGCAAATGTCTTCTCAGACGAGAAGAGAAGTACTACCCTGAAGCGATGCCGACAACTGGACAAGACCATCAGAAAGATGTTGGTCGAACACAAACTGAAGGGCAAATCCTCCTCGAACGCAGCGGTATACCTCCCAGTGAACATAGGAGGATTGGGGCTCAATTCAATAGAGCACATAACAGAGGTGAACTATGCTAAGAAAGGGATATATCTTCTTAGGCACCCCAAACTGGACAAATGTCGCGAGCGGTACCGAGCACTCCAGAAAGCTGGGTGGAGAAACCCCATCACGGATATGGAGTGGGTCCTCCAAAAATATGAGGTGGATGTTCCGGAGGAGGAGGACATCAAAAAGTGTTGTCACTGGGTCTCGGACCAAATAAAACAGCGGATGCTCCGACAGCTGCAGGGGGACTGGTCGGAGAATATGCACTACGGCCGGCTGACAGCGCGGGAGACCGCGCAACTCACCATCCCGGCGAATGCCTCTCCATGCCTGGACACCTGGCGGCGGACCATGCTCCTCAATGCTGCAGAAGAACAACTGCATGGACTGTGCGTTGGCATGGAGAGGTGGAAGTGCCGTAGGGGATGCAGAGCGGAGGAAACGTCCTACCATGTGGCGGCGGCCTGCGTGGAGGGTGCTTACACCTCCAGGCATGACTGTGTGGTGCACTGGCTCCTCAAAACCCTGTTCTGCAGCCTCAGGGCGCCCAAGAGCTGTTGCAGGCGACTGCAATTTGG